GTTCTATATGCATCACAGAAACAAGTGCAAGGAGTGCTTAATTAATTATCTTTCCTATTTTACAAAACAATACATTCTCATGAAGTGCATACATAAAAATATTACACTTAGGCAGATACATATTTATATCTGGAGGCAGCTCAAAGTTATACAATAAAATTTTTAAAAGCTTTAAAATAAATACTTTTTATGACTTGCTGTTGGTAAAATTAAACATTTTGGTATGAAGCCTATCACTGATTTCTTATTAAATTCTAAACTATTATTTATAAATATCTATCACTATAAAATGCATATTTCTACAGACTTGAAGATAACAAACATCTGATATCATTCATTTCTCTTTAGAATTTGAAATTCTCTTCATCTTCGACAATAAAATTTTTACTACTCAAATTACCGTTTACATATTTTTATAGAATTTGTTGCCTAATTCTTATTTTAAAACCTAATTTATTTTTTATATTTCTTATATACATTGATTTGACCCTGTCTTTTGAAAGGCAGTATCTTTTACATACATAAAATATCAGCTGGCTTACAATTAGTCTTTACAACAGTGATTCTTTTCACAGTAGTTCAAGAGTTCAAGGCATGCTTTGCAATGTCAAAATGCAGTGGCTTTGACATTTGTAATATGTTCTTAGGTATAAGAAAAAAGTCACATTACCAGAAAAGTATAATTAGTATTAGTACTTTGAAAGTCAATCCAAAATTCTCCTCCTTTTTTTCTAAGATTGAATCTAATTTTCTGTTTTTAGGACACTTAAAACCTGAAACACTTATTAAGTGTGAATAATTTTTTCCAGTCTAGGATCAGAAGAGTATAAGTTCTTGACACTAGTCACTGGGGAAATGAACTAGAATTTAAGATTTTGGTTCAGATATCCTCACTTTTATTTCTTTTCTGATATCCTGACTTTTGATAAAGATAGAAATACTGGATTTAAAAATAATTGATTACTGGTATTTAGCCCTTGAAGAAAATGGAGATATTTGTAAATCTCACTTTGTGCCTGCATAAATTACACAGAACTTTAAAGTACAATCATCTCTTCTGAGGCAAAGTAAATAAATACTATCGCATATGGAATGACAGCTCAATGGAGATCTAAAAATTAGGGTCTTGTTGCAGATGGTCTGGGTTGAAAAATGTAATCAACCGAACATTCAACCGCCCTCCCCACCCACCTCTTGGCAGTAATTATGGTGAAAAATTCAAAATATTTTTTCTACATTGATTATTTGATTTGCAGACATTGAGTACCATGGGGAATTATTTTTGGAAGATATTTAAGCAGAGATAATTTATGAAGATTAAGCATGTAATATGTTTTTCTACAACTGTCCTGTCCTCCCGTTGTTCATCGATTTACTTGAGGAGCCCAGTAACATTTCCATTGTGAAACTTGTTGTTACTGTGTTTGGCATATTGAATATGTCACTTGTGAGGCTTTGCTGTGCGGATGAGATACCCTCAGTAGCTTCCTGGGCTCTCTGAGAGGGGTGGAGGAATCGAACTCACGCCGGCCTTGTTGGCTGCGTGCAAGGCAAACGCCCTACCTGCTGTGTTATCGCTCCAGTTTTACAACATACAAAATACAAAATATGTTTCTACAACATACAAAAATATTTCTTCATTGGAGAATCTGATGTAGATTGGATTTCAGAGTCTACTTGCTTCTCAGCTGGCAGGATGGTGTAAGGCCAATTCTCAGTTGGTGTAAGGCCAATCTAATAAGTTCAATTTTAGTGGCTATGTTAACATTCAGGTTTATATAGTTCTGATTAAAACTTCCAGTTAAAATTGTTTTAGGTATAGAGAAAAACTTTTAGAAGGGTTACATAAACCAGTGGTCAGGAAAGAAAATTATATTTGAGAATACTAAAATCCAGCATAAGCAGAGTTCAGATTTTATCAAATAGCAGTTATAAAGAAGGATTTTTAAACGAGGATTAAATTTCAATATCTTTCAAAAATACAGAATGTCTCATTTTAAAATATGACCAAAGCAAAACAGAGTAGCTATATGAAATATAAATATGTAAACTGATTGTAGATATCAATTGACCAATCACTTTACAAATATGTATTTTCCCTGCCCAAGTTCACCATCTTTCAGAAGAATTTAGTACTAAGGTCAAATAAATTTTTTTATATGTTAGCTAAAACCTAGAATATAATTAGATGGCTTATCAAGTTAAAACATTATCTGTCATTAACAAGTACCTTCTTCAAACTTCTAAGGGTAAAATTATTAGAGAAAGTCTGAAGAGAACATCTCATGCATAGGTATGGAAAAGAAATATCTTAAATTCAGTGTATAGCAATCTAGAGGGGGTCTAGTAGTCTATGATAGGACAGGAAGCATAAATTGAGGTGGAATTGTGAAAATTCAGCAAATACATTTTTAATGTACTAAAAATGTAAGAAATGAATGTAGGAAAATAAATGCTGAAGATGCACTGACGAGAAAACAGTGTAAATAGAAAATACTTAAATTTCTATACAAGGCTGAAAATTTTACTACTAAATCATGTTTCACTCCCATTCTGACACATAAAAAGAGAAAATAATCCCTACACGAAGGAGAGCAGCTATGCAATGTTGTAAAGGGGGAATGTCGAAACCACCCTTAACCCCAAAGTATAGGTGGAAAAGGACAATGAAGGAAAGAACTGAAGGAGGAAAGTAAGCAAGATATGACAAGGAAGGAACGGAGAGCTGGGGTCAAGGATCTTGGGGATACCAGTAATGGGTAGTACAACTATATAACCAAGCAACAGAATCAACAATGGTGAAAATAAGAGATACAATTAAAACCACCACACTTTAAAATGTGCCTGTCAAGGTGGCAGGCTGGGGGTGGAGGTGGGAGGGAAAATGGGAACACTGGTGTAGGAAATCTGACACCGGTGGGGGAGATTGGTGTTAGAATATCATATGTCTAAAATGCAACTATCAATAACTTTGTGTATCAGAGTTCTTTAATAAAATTTAAAAATATTTTAAATTGTGTATTCTCACAAGTTTCAAATTTTATCTAGCACCCCAATGGCTGCCTTTTTTAGCTCAAAAACTAGTTTCTATCTCTTAGAATATATATTAGTTTTTCTCACTGACTTTACCATGGGGGGTAAGGTATGTTAGCAGGAATTAAAAGAGAAATGACATTTGATCATCTCCATTAAATGGAACATTATGTGACTGTATATCCAAGGTCAGTTTAAATGCATACTAGGTAAAAAAGGTAAAGGCCCTCCCGTTGATCATCGATTTGCTCGAGCGGGCCCAGTAACGTCTCCATTAGAGACTTTGTTGTTACTGTGTCTGGCATATCGAATACTCTCGGTAGCTTGCCGGGCTCTCCGAGAGGGGTGGAGGAATCGAACTCGGGTCGGCCATGTTGGCCGCTTGTAAGGCGAACGCCCTACCCGCTGTGCTAACTGCTTTTAATTGGTAAACACTGAATATAGTGAGGTACTATGGTGGGTATTTTGCTAGCAACTACTAATAAATTTCTCTTTGATTTTTACATCTATAACTTTTGAAAATCAAATCATATAATTAATTTATAACATGTTTACAAGTCTCAAATTCTGACTTTTTATTTTGCTGATAATATGTGAAATAATCTATATGTCAAAGGCTCTCTTTTTGAGTTCACAGTACAGCAGGGTGAGTGTTTGTCTTACACCAGCTTAACCCAGATTGATCCCTGGTACCTTATATGGTGTAGTTCCCAAACAAAAATAAATCAAACAAAAAGATTTCTTAAAAAATGAAACAACTGGTGAAGGTACGGGTGTTTCATTGTATGACCGAGACTTGGAACCGAAACCTTTGTAACTGCTCTCATGGTGATTCAATAAATAAAATTATAAAACATGAAAAAAATGAAACAAAGCAACAAAATCTTTCATTTTCCTTAGAGGGATAGACACTAGGAATATTTTGCTATTTTTTAAATTTAGGACTAATGAAACTTTGGATTATTCCTTTTTGTGCATTTGTTATTTTGATATCAGGCCACACCCAGAGGTACTCAGGGCTTACTACTGACTCTGTACTCAGTGATGACTCTTGGTAGGACGTTATGGGGTGCTGGGAATCAACCCAGGTTTGGCTGCATGCAGGACAAATGCCCTACCCATTGTACTGTCATTCTAGCTCCATTTTTGTAATATTTTAAAAGAGATCAAAAAGATTTGAAAAAAGGTGAGGAAAATGCCACATACAAGAAAATTTAGAAAAAAATGGTCAAATACCTGAAAATTTGCATTTAAACACTGAAAAACATAAAATCCTATTTACTGTTTTGTTTTTTAGTTTGTGAGTTTTGGAGCCATACTCGATGGTGCTCAGGGATCACTCCTGGAGAGATTCAGGGGACTGACTATATAGGATGCTGGATCAAATGGTTCAGGTACATGCCAGGCAAGCGCCCTACTCACTGTACTATTATTCCAGTCTGAGAAGTTATTCTTATTATTAAGGTCCTATGAAATTTTAAAATCCCAAATAACCCATTTTTCTGTTTAGAAGTCCTTGGGAGCAAAGGGATTTCTGTTCCTGCTAAATAGTGTATAAAATCCATGTAAGTCTTCACTTATAGGAAAAGTGAACAAAGCATTGTCAAACATAGAAATAGAATGTTTTACAAAATCAAACATATTTAAAAATTCTTTGAAAACCACAAAGCTGCTATTTTAAGATACTAAATCTTAGTATTCCCAAGTAACTTAAATGTTGTATTTGTAAATTTATTTAAAGGAATTATATCGAATACATTAACTATGATCAACTTTTTTCATTTGATACTATTACCTTAATTTCCTCAGGAAAAAAATATTTATCCTTTAAATAAATTTATCTAAATAACTATGTTTTTATGTTTATTTGAAATAATCAAATTCTCTGACAATCCATTTTAATTTGAACTTTTCATAATAGTAAAAGTGGGCTTCTTGCTTTCAAATGATTTTTGAAGACGGTTCCCTGATGCTTTTGCATAAATTCTTCCGATATTCCTGAGTTGTCTCTGCTCCAAGAAGTCACATGGTGGCGAAATTCTAGTACAGTAGAAATAGTTGTTTTCTTTAATACTTCAACTATAGAAATACTCAAAAATAATAATTATGATGAAACTTGTAGCCTAATAAATCTCTCTATATTTTCATTTTAAAATAAAAACTGATCTTGAGTTCTTCAGACACTGTACTCAGGTTACTATTTTCATACAATCTTGGAAATTTAAAATGCAAAGTTAATTGAAAGTATCAAGATGAAAAGCAAGTACTATGCCTAAAATAGTGCACGACACAGTCATGTTTCACTTAACTTTCAGAACATAAATTAAGAATTCTAGATGTGACATGCCAAATATTTTAGACACAGAATGGAACACACAACAGAATCTGTACCAATTACACGCTTAAATGCATAGCTTATAAGGCAATAAATTCATGCTGAATTATTGACGTTGTTGCCATAAATAGCATTTTACCAAGCTTTACATTGTACCCAAAATATTTGAAAAAAAGCAGAGAACACTGGTAGTTAGAGTCTAGGAAGAGTATTTTTTGGTTATAAAGACACTCAAAAGAAATAAATATTACAAAATCAGACTCCATCAAAGAAACAAGTTTAACAGCATAGGTATATACAGAAAATTTATCTTGTGCTCTAAACTTTATCTAAGTTTTGTCAGTATTTTCTATTTTATAATCATTTTGAGAATTAAGAAAAAAATTAGAACTTTTAGCTTTTGTCATTTTTTCCATCTTCTCCATTTCTTAAAAAATATACTTGTTAATTAAAATATAAGACAATTTAGTTAGAAATTATAGTTAACCAACACATACATACACCCCCTCAAAAAGAAAACAGGAAAAATATTTTAATATATATGAATTTACGTATTTCTGTAGGATGAAAGTGGAGTATAAATATAAAATTACATTTGGACATCCTCAAATAAATTATAAAACATAATGATAAATAATAAAAATGGGAAAACTTTCTCTTAAAAATTAAACAATAATTTTTACCCTGTACATGTGAATAAAAGGGAATTATTATTCTTGTTTTTTAAAACTATAGTAAATAAATAATTTCATATTCATACATGCAAATACAATCTAGAAGAAATCAAGGAAATAAGCACTACCAGGAGTACTTCACTCTCGTAAACTTTTTGAAATTCCTTCACAGATAAACTCTCAAAAACTGATTATATAATTAGATATTTTGGAATAACCAAATACAAATAATTTTTAATCTGTTGCACACTGAAAGTAATTTTTAAGACCTATCATAAAGAAATCAATACATTCTACGTTGTGTCTTTTGATTTACTTTCTTTCCCAACCACCCACACACATGTCACCATCCTCACATTATACTTTTAGATTCCTGAGGGGAGGAACTATTCTGTTTTAATTTCCCTAACTCACCCAAGACCAGGGCAAGGAATATATGGCGCACACCATCATTACGAAATGAATGAATAATCTCTTAAATGAGAGTGAAATATGTACAAACCACAGTGGTATCTGATGTCTCAACCCCATCCAAAGAAGAGGGGTTCAGTAACATACTTCCATAGTGAAACAAATTATAATTATTAGATTGTGCTCTATGTGAAAATACATAGAAATATCCTTCACAACACTGTTCCCCAAGTTGTGCTTTATAAAACACCAAAATTCAGGCTAGTAAAGGCTTTCCCTTCTCTTAATAAAAAGGGTTTCACGGTCTAATAATTTGGGAAATCCAGTATAATGAAATTCAAGTAATATTTCTTAACTCCTCAAAGTACTTGATAAACTAATTGTGATGTCATTATCTAAGAACCTACCTACCAAAAATAATGTTTGATTCCAAGATCAAACTTAGATCATCTAAGCTTAAAAAGTGCTCAGTGTGAAAGATTGGGTGAACAATGCTTTAAAACAATATAAGAAGCCATATTAGCTCTCCTTCACCAAAGTACAATTATAGATTTAAAGGAAATATATAATGTTCTTTGCATACTCATAGTCCATCACTTCCATACAAGAAGGAGATTATAAACTACCATGAGTCACCAAATTATCATCTGCACCCACCCTTTCATTTTGAAAGGGTCAGGAATATATGTTTATTATGACTGATACCCTCTGTAGGGTTTGCTTTATTTATTAAGTTTCTTTAATTTTTTCAGAAAATATTTGTTTCCTTTCTCTTTTCTATTCTCTTTTAAATGTATGTGTACAAAAGCAGGAGGAATTTCAGGAATGCATCTAGAAATCTAACAGAAGACCCTTACACCTAACTTATCTCTAGAAGTGTTCAGAAAACCTTAATATTCATCTAACTAATAGGATGACTGAAATTTCTATATAAAAAAGATTTTGGCAGTGTCCCAGCTCTGTCACTAGCTATGTGACTTTGGAACATTTCAAGATGTCAGAGGTTTAATTTGTTAGTGAAAGGGAATAATATTGAATACAGCTTTCAAACTATCCCCCTCCAAGGGGCTGCTGGTAGATTATAAACAGGAAAGAAAGAGGGGAGAAGAAAATGAGGAAGTAAAATGTTGACCTTGTTTCCATCTTTCTGCAAAGCAGGTCCACTTTTACATATTTCATATGTTCAGGACAGTATTTAGACTTTTAAATCCTACTTAATTTAAATAATAGAGAAAAAGCATAGAATGCATCAGCTAAAGTTTTGTTTACATAGAATATACTGATTCATATTTTTGATGAATATTTTCATCTCAGAAAAAAGTCAAAACATTTTCGTCTATTCGTTCATGTGCTTTTGGTTCAAGTGAAATAAAACCTTAATTACTTTAACTATTTTACATAGCTTATTTTGTACCTCCATAATATCTTTCATATTAGATAAAGGTGTGAGCTGATGTGTGGTTTGTCAAAGTGAAATGAAAGACATCATGAAAATTGAAGGACATCAATGCCTGACCGTGCTTGACTTTAGAGTTTTTGGCCATGCCACATTTGGACACTAGAACACTGTAATGCAGTATCTCTGAGGTAGAGCAAAAAAAAGAAACAAAAACAAAACAAAACAAAAAAACAATAGCAAAACATTCACATAAAGATGCCAAATGGAAAGACAACTGCAAACAACTGCTTTTGAATACAACTGTTATCATTAAACTTTGCAGTCCTCTTTTACACAAAGTTGAGAGATGGTCTTCTTAATACGAAGGGCAGTCAGGCGAGCTGCCCCATTGGCATACCAACACTCACGCATTATTCTCCCCATGACTCGGAGCGCCTTTAAGAAAGAAAAATATCAAAGATTTTAGAAAGAAAATTATCAAAGACCTTAGTCAACCACACAAAATTAAGTAAAAAGGCAAAACAAGCCTAGTAATTGATGCCAAATTGTAGTGAAGAAATATAAAACTTTAAATAATATGGGAAGAAGATTGGGGTCATGTCCTATTAACCTAAGAGGCTACTCTGCATTGAAAACTCAGCATAATGATTTTAGTAAATATGAAAGTACTGTCCTCAAATAGGAACTTGAAAGAGTAAAAAAAAAGGGAGGTATATTGAGATGGTTTAGAAAGTTTCTATATCTTGCTCTGGATTTCAGCTGAATGCAACAAGTGTATACATGTCTAAAACTTCATCAAGTTCTAGGCTAAAAGTTTTCACTTGACCTATAAAAGTTATACCACAATAACAGTAAAAAATACTAAAATTTCTGAACTAGTGTATAACTAAGACAAACACTTTGAGAGTAAAAGGATTAGACTTAATCTATTCAGAGAAATTTAAGAAATCCCTGAAGCAGGTAGCTTGTCTGTTGGCATCTGCTGATCTCATAGAGAAGAATTTCAAAATAGATATTCAATAGTTGAAAGACGGGAAGCACAGCACAAAACTCCCAGAAGGTTCAGATCAAGCTGTTAAAAAAAAAATTCCTGAGTCTAAAGAAGAATCTCCCCAAGAAAGTCACTTTGTGAGAAAAAATTTTCAAATCTCAGGTTTTGATAAAGAGAAAAAGTCAAGCCCAGTCTTACAAAGGTACAATACAATTGAGTTAATAATAAAAATTTGTAAACACATGATAAAACAAATGATTATACACAATAGTCACTGGAAACAATAAGCAGTTAAACCATACACATAAAAAGTTTAAAGAGAATTTAAGTGTATAAAACACAAAATAGGTAAAATACATTTTATGAAAGCAAGGAGGAAATCTAAAGTACAAATCAACAATAAAACCTTATTTTTCACTTTTTTTAATTTTATTTTAGTTTGGTTTTAGTTTTGGGAGACCTGACTGATGTTCATGGACTACTCCTGGCTATAAACTCAGGAATTACTCCTGGGTGCTCAGGGGACCATATGGGATGCCGGGGGTCAAGCCCGAGTTTGCAGCATGCAAAAGCAAGCACCCTACCCACTGTACTATCTCTCAAGCCCAATATCGCATTTTTTAAAAAGGAAAAAGCATCAAATAAAATTCTTGACATAGAATATACGTAAGAGATTTCCAAACTACATGGATTGATTAGATGGCTGAGAAAACAAATATGAAACTAGAATCAATAAGCTGGGAGATAAGTAAGAGATACTTCCTAGGGCACAAATATGGTGGCAAAGAGACAAGATAGAAAGAAAAGTTCAAATCTAAAAATGTGTCCAATGAGTTTTTAAAAATTGGCAGCAAATATGGTGAAAAGATGTAGTACTAAATGGTACTAAATTTTTATATTTGGAATAATGGGTAAAAATTCCATATATCAGCAATGTACTTAAAATGTAGCATTGTAGCACTGTCTTCGCCTTGTTAACCCATTTGCTCAAGTGGGCTAAACTGTTATAACCATATTATATCAACTACATAAAATAAAAATTTAAATTTTTAAAGTCATATTCTTTAAACCCAATTAAGATTTTTCAAAGAATGCCTCAAAAAACATCATATTAAAAAAAGAAACACATCAAGTTCTAAAGATTAAAATATATACCCACTATCACCATTTTCAACAAAGTTTATACAGGAAGTTATTGAAACTATAGTAAGACACAAAGAACAAGAACAAGGACCAGATTTATCATTTGGAGCCATAAACCTCTATGTGTGTATTCCATACAATTCATCTATAGTAACATTCCCTAAATAATGTGGGTGTGTCTGTGTCTGTGTGTGTTTTTTGTATGGGGGTCACATTCAGTTGGACTAAGGATTTATTCTGTCCCTAAGGAATTCCTGCTGTTAGAACTCAAGAGACCTAGTTAGTGCTGGGGATTGAACCTGGGTCATTGTGTGCAATATGAGTGTCTTTCCTGCTATGCTATCTCTCCACCTCCAAGTTCCTAAACAAATTCTTATTCTCAAACACTGCAACATGATTTTAAAGAAACTAGAAATCACTCCATTCATTACAATCAGGAGTAGAGTGATAAAAAGAAATAATATTCATACAATGGTATTCCTTTAAACAAGTGACATTAACAGATTACAGCTTTCTCTCTCATTCTCACTCTCTAAATAGGTGAAAAAATACCTACTTTCAGTGACATAATACAAAGTATAAAACATAACACAAATACACAAACGTTAGCAACATATATGTCAGTGTACAAATTCATTATACACTGAGTATAAAATAAAATCAAAATAATTAAGTATTTATTTAATATTATTAACTTAAAAGTAATAAATAACTACAATCCCAGAGAGATAAGGAATCTTTGAAGATATTGGAACTGTCCTAGTTTTCAAACTTGATAATAAAATTCACTGGATTTCATTTTATAATTAGACTTTTGATTTGAATATACATTCTTTCATCTATATAACATTAATACTCTAAAATTTTAATTTCAATGTTTCTGTTTTAGAAAAATGACAGTAACTTGGAGTTACTTGGAGTTACTTGGTGATGCAAGTTACTTGGAGTCATAACTATGTTGCTAAAATATCTCCACAGAATAGAAGTACCAAAACAAATCCTGCATTAAATAAAAAAGTAGTTGAACAAAACATGGAAGGGGGAAGAAGCAAAAAATAATTCATATAATAAAATAATTACTATGACAAAGCCAACTAAGCAATGTCACTTAAAGAAAACCTCAAGTATTATATTTAATAATGCATAAGATATATAGTAATAACTTTAATTGAAATATTAAAGCTGCTCTGTAGTGACTTTTATGGTTAATTGCCCTCACTCACCTTCTCCTTGTGAGAAAGAAACATATACACACTGAGCATTAACAGTCACCATTTATTCTGTGTCCAATATATAATTGTTGTTCGGAAAAAGGTGATAAACAATGGTTGTTGTCATAGGTAATTATTATATGAGAGAGAATAAACTCAGACTATATCAAGTTAGGGATCAGTAAATATTTACTAAAGGTTGATGATGAATGAAACTATAATCCTCTGTGTGGCAACGGCATTGACTACCCACCAAGTCTGCCTGTGCTCCCACAATTTCCAGACTCTGGTCATATAAGTAGAGGTGATGCAAGTTACTTGGAGTCAAAGCATCGAAGACATATTGTTTGACCCTCTGGATCCTCTTCTAACCCAGAACTCTGGAAATTGTTGAGAAAGCAGCATCCCAAGATAAAAGTCAGCAGATTATTGAGTCACCAAAGAGAACAGAGATGTCACTGAAAGTTCCCTAAACCACAGGATTCTTTGAATTGCAAGAAATAAAGTTTATTTGTAATTAGCCACTATGATTTCAGGGATTGTTACTACGATGTAATATAGCAGTATAGACACATACAACTAAAAAAAATGCACAAAATCCTGCTGAACTCTTACAAAGCCATTTACCTACATAGGAAGAATTGTAATCTTAGACTGAGACATAACTATATGCTCTCTGAAACTTTTCTCTGATGTTTTACTTAAAAACTAAAGGAAAGTTTTACATAAGGCCATAACCTTACCTCACAGCTTTGCCACTGGTTTGGGATACTTGGCCGAAACTTCTGGTCACAAACAACCTTCCTCATTTCCTCTATTGAGGGATCTGAAGGCACCATGTCATAATAAGGCAACTGGTAGTCCTCGACTATTCCTATGAGAAATTAGCAAAATTTAGTGGTGATCATAAATTAGTATAAGAAGATGATATATTATGCTTTAAATCTAAAACCTATATGCAATATTACTTACATAATTTTTAAAAACAACATCCTATTAATCTGAAAAAGGCACTGGCATAACTTCTGACAAAAATAATAAACAAAGATGCTAATTTCAAAACAATGCCAATTAAATCACAGGTGGTAAAATGGAAATTTTTTATCATTTTTTTACCAATTTAAAATATTTTTACTAAACTTTTACCAATTTCCCTAAAATTCCATTTCCTGGAAAAATAGAAAGTCAGATTTCCAGCATGACAACTTTAAAATACTCAGTTAAATAGTTATTATATATATTTATAAAATTTTATATTACAAAAATATAATTTTGAAAATTATATTATGTTGATATTAAATAAACTGCTATAAAAGACATGCACTTATATAATCATACATCACTAATATGCAATTATATATACATATTACAGTTGTATTATTTTAATACCTAACGGGTAGGGCGTTCGCCTTACAAGCGGCCAACATGGCTGACCCGAGTTCGATTCCTCCACCCCTCTCGGAGAGCCCGGCAAGCTACCGAGAGTATTCGATATGCCAGACACAGTAACAACAAAGTCTCCAATGGAGACGTTACTGGGCCCGCTCGAGCAAATCGACGATCAACGGGAGGGCCTTATTTATTTTATTATAACCTAAGATTATGAAAATTATATAAATACTTTTGCTATCATGTACTTTGAGAATAATGCCTAATTTTGCTTCACTGTGAAAGTTATAGTACAGTCTCACTGCTCTGTGAATAAAGATGTGTTTCTTTCATCAAATAAAATTTTCAAAATAATTTTGAAACAACTTTTAAATAATTGAAGATGAACACTTTGACATGAAGGAAATGTTTTTAAAATCTCAAACATACAAACGTGACCTTAACTAAAACATTATTTAAATTCAAAAATGAAATTTCCAAATCATTTGAGTGAGACCCCTGAGAGAAAATAGAGGAAGTAAGGCACTTGCCTGGCATCCTGCTGACCCAGGATTGTTCCCTAGCACCACCTATGTTTTCCTAAATACTACCAGCTGCAACTCTGAGCACAGAGCCAAGAAAAGTCCCCGAGGAACCACTGTATGTCGCCAAACTCCTAACTCCCAAGATCATTTGAGATATATACATATATACACACATATATACATATTTTGTGCATATTCATACATATATATTTTGTATGTATATATCACTGTCACTGTCCTCCCATTGCTCATCGATTTGCTCGAGCAGGCCCAGTAACATTGTGAGACTTGTTACTGTGTTTGGCATATTGAATACGTCAAGGGTAGCTTGCCAGGCTTTGCCATGCGGGCAAGATACTCTCGGTAGCTTGCCAGGCTCTCCAAGAGGGGCAGAGGAATTGAACTCAGGTCGGCCATGTTGGCTGTGTGCAAGGCAAATGCCCTACCTGCTGTGCTATCGCTCCAGCCCGTATATATATATATATATATATATATATATATATATATATACAACACAAAATATAATGTTTAAAATGTGTTACAATATTAAAAAGAAACCATATCATTTTAATTAAATTACTATTTTGACAACTGAAGAAAATTAAACAATATATCTACACAAATATCAATAAAAACTTTTCAATCTTAAAATTTTTTGTCAAATTAGATTTTAAATAAAAAATGCTGTAAATAAACATATTTGAAAATTGTTATTTACCAAGCACTGTCCTAAGTAAGCCCTTTAAAATGTTTTAACTTATCTTTTCACAAAACCACAAACTAAAGAAGATAGCATATTTTCCCTGGCTCATAGAATGAAGAAACTGAGGTAAAAGAGTGCCATAAATTTTCTCAATCTTCAAGAGGAGCAGATCTGGAATCTCCCAACCCTAAGCTCACTGTTTGTGTGAAGTTTCAGCTTCCTGAATGCTTTACTCTCTCGTCCACAAATGAATGGTGAAAATGTAGTTTTGCTTTCAAATACAATTTTAACTTCATAAGGTTTTAATATTTTTAAAAGATTTTAGGACTTTTAAAATATTTATCTTAAGCAAAACAGCATCAAAATATAATGTGAACAATTGGTAGCTGTTTAACAACGCCAGCTGTATGATCATGCTCTGCACTAACACACCTCAAGAATGAATTGAGATAACTCACTAAATCCTCAAAGCCCAAAGGATCAGCTTTATTATTTTCTTTGTTTTACAGGTAAATAAATTAAAACCAAATAACTTGCCTAGAGTTAGACATTCAGGAAGTTGCCAGGCCATGCCAGGAACAGTAAAGTTGGAGTTAATCTTCACTTGACTTCAACCTCTACTCTAACCTCTAATGTCCACATATTTGTCAATACAAGAAAGAAACAGACTACACACACACACACACACACACACATACACACACACACACACCCCTTGTCAATAACACTTCAAATCCTACAGCTTTGGTAAGTCATTTAATGTTCCTGGCTTTTATTTCTAACATTAAGTAGGGACAGTAACAACAAAGTCTCCAATGGAGATGTTACTGGGCCCGCTCGAGCAAACTACATACAAACTCCAAAAAATTGTTTCACGTGCTTCAGAATGTATAACTATGGAATGATCAGAACTGTCACCCCCGCCTAAGAAATAATTGTAATGTAAAATATCATTATCTGCAGGATACTCCACTACCACCACTGGAGAGAAAGAACTGAAAGGTGTTCTTACGATTTAGCAGTATTCTTTGAAATATGTACAGATGACTTAATCCGGTGCTTATGAATAAAGTAGAAAATTTTGACTTATATTCAGGCCATTAAGGAAAGAAGCCAGAAATAATATATCTGGAAACTTACCTCCAACTGAACACCTCCGGGCTATTTCCCAGTAAACCAGACCAACAGAATAGATGTCAGCACGTTTGAAGGACTCAAAGATATTCACATTCATCGTGTCATCAAGCATTTCAGGAGCCATATACCTTCAAAAACATGCACATTTTAGATTCTGTGTGTCACTTTCTTAGCAGTCTTGTAAAATATAACCTTAAACCCTGATATGAAATATAAATTAGGATAGCTTACATCAATTTTACAGGTAGGTCTGAACTACAGATAGAATAAAATTAAATAATACAGTTATCAAATCTAGAGGTCATTCTACTCATTATTAAAGTATATGTGCGAGAAGTCAAATTCTGGCAAGTACAAGCCAGGGGTATTATTCCATAAGCAAAGCTCTTATGAGGAGAGAGAAAATGCAATTTCTACCAATAGTTTACAGCTACCCAGGTTTCCTTGAGGACAAAGAGCAGGTTTTATTCATTACAGTGAGCTTGTATTTCAACAGTGCTCAGTGACATTCCACAAATACTTTCTCTGAATGCACAATTTTATTTATATTGGTGCTAAAAACTGTATACATATTATATGATGACTCCAAGAAAATGAGCACTTTCTTTGAACAGGACTAATTGAAGTTATCTAGTCAATGTGGTGAGACTGAGTCTGGCTGTCCTGAGAGATTGAGGATTTTTCAGAACCCTCAAGTGAGGGCTCAATATCCTCCCTGAACCATTTTAAAGTTTTAGATCTGCTGAAGCAATCTAGTTACATGAGCCTTCCACAAGGGTGCCTAACAGAAGGATATTTGGGTGGGTAAGTTAAATTTTCTGTTTATAGGGGAAACAATAGTCTCTCTTGACTATCCATTGTGAATGAACTATCCCAAAGTATCACTAGGTCTTCAGTGAAGTCTCCCAGGGAACCAGGGAACCAGTCTTCCAGGGAACCTCTGAGAAAGTCTCAGAGGGATTGACCTGGAATCTCAAATATGACTCAGAGACCAAGAATACTAGCTTAGAAATTCTCTACTCTCAACGGCCTTTAACAATTTCAAAAAATTGTTTCAGTTGTTTCTAATTTAAGGTCAATAACCCTGGCACTATTCCAGTGTAGCATAAGAGCCTGAAACTCAAATAAAATGAAATGAAAGTATGTTGGCCATAGAGCTATAACAAAGAAAACCCCCAAAAAATCTCATTATAAATCAGCCTATCCTTATACATGGGTGATATATTGATTCTATCATTGTTGCTCTGAACTTTTAGAAATCTCGTTCCTTGAATGTGAGAATTGTGCCTAAATTTATTATTTCAATATATTTAAGTATGGGTGACTTAAGGATAAGCAAAACTTATGTAAACACATACAATGTTAGATATTATTTTGAAATATTGGGAAATACATTAATGAAAATATAGTATATTTTATCATATTTGAGTCCCTCATCCTGCATAATTTAATAGATGCTACATTCATTGCTTAGAAACTGAACACAAAGAACTAGTCCTAAATTTTTACATTTCTGATGTATAAAGGCTTTGGAGTAGCTGTATAATGCTTTTTTTCCCTTTTTTTCTGTTAAAAAACAAATTCTCAAAATGTAGCACATTAACAATATTATATCATCTCTCTTCCAACATTGTTCTTTCTTCACTGGACTACTCTCTCTAATGACTGCTATCTCTATGACCAAAACACCAACACATCTTGGTTTATAACCAGAATGCCATAGACTTCTCAGTGACTTAAAGAATATGTTTTGCTTAGGGGCCACTAAAAATCTCCCATTTGAACATGAATCCTCGCTATGTACACAACCAAGCATTCATGATTCTAAGCAAGTCACAGGTCTTAGTACATACTAACCTTTTAGTTCCTACTTTAGGATTCTGAGGTATGTCAATCGTATTCAGTATTGAGTCATGTTTCACAGCCAACCCTAAATCTGCTATGGCACAAGTTTCACACTTTTTCACTAGGATATTTTTGGATTTTATATCTCGATGAGCAATAGCAGGTTTACCTAAGAAACACAAGAAAAACATTCACATTTATTGTTGTTGTTATTGATGACTAAATCTCTCCAAAATAAATCATTTTAAACACTTTACACAAACATCTCTTTCTAATTGAGGTCTACTCTGACCACGTATTCTGCATTCCAAGTCATTCCTAATAGAATATCTCTAATCTGCACTTATTTACAGCTCTTATCACAGTGGACATTCTCTTGCTTGTTTATACACATGTTTAATTATCTTTCTCTTGTACTGGCCTGAAAACATCATAGGACAATGATGATCTATTACTCATCACAGTGACACCAATACTTTTAGTGCTAGGTGACAGTTGGAAGCCATTAATAGGCATGTGCTGGATAAATGGGGAAAGTTAATAGCACTTTTATGTTCATGTGAGAACCAAGTAAATATTCTCTTACAAAACAAGTTTCACATTTCTAGCACCCTGCATTTATTATTCTCAAACGTGGCCTGAAGACTTCAGTAGGAATATGATACTCTTTTTCAACTTCACCTATACTATGTCCCTCTGTCCTCAATCACCAGCTGGCCTGGAGTTAGGCCTTATTCTAGAGTTCGTGTAGACACGTTTTTCTGCCCACAGGCATATAATTAACAGGAGGCAGAGCCATGACTGGAACCCAGGACTGTGTGGGGTTTTGCCCCTGTAATTCATGGTTTTGTCTACAGAGGGTACTATAACTCTATTTACCCCCTGAGGTCTAAGACTTCATGACTTTTTTTATTTTTGAGTTGGAATTAACAGAGTTTACAGTGTGAATTTTAAGGATCCTTTACTTTCTTTTCTACGACATCACTTTTCTTTACATATATCAGCCCAAAATAACAGAATAGACAGAACAAAAAATCAGACACTGAACCTGATAGTTCAGGAGGTAAGGTGCTTGCCTTTCATGCTCCTGACCTTGGTTTGCTCCCTGACACCACATATAGTTTCTCATGCTCCACTAGGAGCAATACCTAAGCACAGAGCCAGAAGTAAGCCCAATGTACTGCTATGGATTCCTTCCTGCACCCAAATATTAGTCATTATGCCAGATACTAAAGAAATTTGCAAAAGAAAGGAAAATAAAACCATTATTTTTACAAGACTGGGATTTCTGTTAGTTTTTAATTGTTTAATTGTTCTTATTTTAAGTAAATTAACACACCATATATTTTTCTCAATTTTAGTTACATGATAATTACTGATAGTTAAAAACCACATATATAGAAACTTTTGGGTTCCTCATAATTTTTAAAGAGTTTATAGGGATCATGAATCCAAATGTGAAAGGTACAATCCTTCCTAAATTACTTTTCCTTTAAGAGACAATTCCGTATTAACCTAAATAAATAAAGCAGTGGGTATTATTTGACCTTCAATATGGCATACAAATATTTAAGATTACATTACCCTTTTAAAACATACTAATTATCAAGAGTAAGCATTTAAATTTGTATTATCTGAAAATACAACATGTGACCCCAAAGCAAGAACTCTCCATATATTGTTAAATGGCAAACACAGAAGAACTAAAAATATTATTTTGAGTAATATACAAAATGATGTGTATATATGGTTTGGCTGTATTATGACAATATATTTAGGTATATAGAGTGCTTTTAGGAAAAAGGGGTGCACACCTGGTAGTGCTCAGAGTTACTCCTGGTTCTATGCTCAAGGATTACTCCTGGAGGTACTCAGGGAATCATACATGTGCTGGGAGTCATACAGAGTTAGTCATGTGCAAGCTAAGGGCCCTACCCTCTAGAATGCCTTTAGAATTACTTTAGACTTGAAATGACTATTATAATATAAATAAAATACAATTTAGAGTTCATATCAAGGAGAATAATTATTATTACATAATAATTATTTCATATTTATTATTTTATATTATATTGTTTATATTTACAATATTATTATTATTATTATTATTATTATTATTATTATTGGGCTGGAGTGATAGCAGAGCAGGTAGGGCATTTGCCTTGCACATGGCCGACCTGGGTTCGATTCCTCTGCCCCTCTCAGAGAGCCCAGCAAGTTACTGAGAGTATCCCGCCCACACAGCAGAGCCTGGCAACCTACCTCTGACGTATTCAATATGCCAAAAACAGTAACAAGTCTCACAATGGAGACGTTACTGGTGCCCACTCGAGCAAATCGATGAACAATGGGAAGACAGCACTGTAGAGTGCTATCAAGGAGAAAAAAAGAAAGAAAACACATACCTTGTGTACCAACAATTTCCATGTGAAGGTGGGCCAGACCACTAGCTATGGAAAGTGCCAGCTTGATCATCCCAGCCACTGTTACTATGTTTCTATTCAAATAGTCATATAAGGAGCCCTGTTCATGGTATTCAGAGACAAGCCAAAGCTGAGTCCAAGTTCCATTATCTAGAAGAAAAAAATGATTCTGTGCTGAACATACACATTGAAAAAGAATACAAAGCCTTTAACAAATGTCAGTGTTTAAAGCAAATTTGTATTGCTGTCAAAGCAGTTAATTCCCTCAGTGATAATGCTCACATTCTGAGTTAGTAAAGTAAAACTCCTCAATGAATTTCTGAAATTATTTTAGAAGCTATTACAGGTATCCAACATAGTTATGGGAAGCTGTGAGGCAGTGATTCTAAAAACTCCATTCACCTTCCCTCTATATTAATACCTGTTGGGAATAGCAGCCACTTAAAAGAGAAATTACTGAGAGATGCATTTATACTCAGTGTTATATTATAAATTACTGTGAGCTTTTATAAAGATTGCACTAATCAAAAAGAAATATAAAAATTTTGCACAATGTATTATGACTATCCTAAAAGCTATAGCAAGCTAAGAATGTCCAGGTTTAACTGTTTAAAATATGAAGCTGATGATTTTTCTTCAAAGTGTATCTTAAAAGCAAAACATAACTACCAGACATGCTTAAATATTTTAATTCATCAAAAAACAGCTGGTCCAACTTACAAAAGATTTTCAGCAGAAGAGAAACTAAAATTAAACTTTTCTAGGTGGAGGGATAGGTACTGGATCATTGTATAACTGAAACCCAAGCACAAAAATTTGTAAGTCTACAACTGTACCTCATGGTGTTTCGCTAATAAAAATTTTTTTAAAAAATCCCTTGTAGTTAGCTTTCGTTTTTTGTAATAAAGTATATACAATAGTCTGCAGCAGTCTTGAAAAGTGGAGAAGCTCTGAGGGAAGAAGCTAAGATGAACATATAGTAACAAGTTCTTAATGTATAGGCGCTCCTTATTATCTAAGTATTTATTTCCAAGGCTGGATAATAATAAAATTTCCTCAGAATGCTAAACTCAACATGATTTAATAAAATAGATTTATAAACTCACCACATATAAAATTAACCCTTATGCATATTTGTCTCCTTGCTTATCACCTTTGTCCTCTAATTTCAATATTTTTGTCTGACGTTTGAGAGAAAAGTAAATTCATACTCTTGCAAAAGATAGAGAAATGCATGAAGATGAAAGTGGTATGATAGATCCCTCAGAATGGTGCACCAAGTCATTAACAAATAATCTAGCTAAATTGAAGTAAAAATCAAAGATATGATCTCTCCTTTGCATACATTTTTAAAATCCAAATATTGTGATTAAATCAGCCCATAACTACCATCATTACTGGTTTGACAACCTTCTAGTAGGTAGTTTAACTCAACCTTACAAAGGAAAATTAGAAGTTCTTAAGAGACGCTAACAAAAAAGTCTCATTTTCAATAGTTTGAATATATTTTCAAACCTTAAGTAGTTAAAAAATTGGAATGAAACACCTTTTTAAAGTTCACCTTAGCTTTCTTTACTTTTTCCCAAGTAAATCAGAAATAAACCTGAATTGTAGTCAAAATTTAAAATAATGGTAAGCTTCCCTTTTGGTATCAAGTTAATAATGAAAATTTTCATGGTAACCCTATAAAAATTAATATTCAAAATAATGTATATTTTTAATTTTAATAAATAATTCTATGATATTCACATAAAATTTACTTTTTAGCATTTACAATGTTTATTTATGAGTACTACTAATTTGAGGGAAAAAATTGGACTAGATCAAGTTTTTCTCATATTTTTCCCTGCTCCCTTTGTTATGAAAACTAAGACACAACAAAGGAGCAAAAGTTACTTAAAAATGAATAAAAAAGAGCAAAGAAATCCAGAATCTTTATATCCTGATTTCTTGGTACATATTCAACATTTTAAGAAAAATGGTTTAAGTAGCAGAAAGTTGATGAACTCTTTTCCACGATATTTAAAAAAAATATATTGTTAATGTTAACCTCGAGACACCAATTATACTCAATATAAATTAATAGAAATTTCACTGAAAGTATCTTGCTTGATGACATTCTGGTAAAGTGTGTGAAAACTTGAATTTTATACAGGTATACAGTATAGTCCCAGAAAAGGTGAATGTGCCTGTAGCATTCATTGGTATGCCAATGCCAATTACTAAAATACTACAATATTTCTGTACTTGGTTTGCTACTAGCTGGTATTCAAAATGTGCTCTGGACATTCCATCGCTCAAGATACTTAAAGGGACACTCACCCCCATACCCATGACCTTGAAAGCTCTTTATGACCCAGCAACTACTAACGGGGTAAAGCCTAGAACCTAAAGGTTCTCTCAGCTGTAGCTAGCTTCTATTTTTATTGGTTGGCTCCTATGCCATGAAAGTCATGAAAATTTTAAACTATCAACCTGGTAATAGTTGATAGTTTAAAAATCATCATGATTTCTATCACTTCTTTGATCTGCTTTATTGTATGGCTATGGATATTTATCTATGGAGAAAGGAAAATCACTTTCTTTCATGAAGAAAATTTAACTTTTATTTTGGTTTAAATGCAATGAAAAAAATTTTTTTTCTCATCTTGTAATAACATTTTTACTTGATCAACCCACAAAGATTGAAAATACCTTTGTTGTCAGCAGCGATGAAACCAAGAATGTTTTCATGTCTCAGCATAACAGTCTGATAAATTTCTGCTTCTCGAAACCAAGATCTTTCATCTCTGGAGGAGAATATTTTCACAGCCACATCTTCTCCACACCATCTACCATGCCAGACCTCACCAAATCTACCTTTTCCCACTATTTCCTGAAGGACAATTGTCCTTGCAATTGTTCTCTGGACCAACAGAGGTAGACCTAACCAAAGAAAAGATGAAAGTGATGATTAAAAACAAGTACCAGAAAATAACTGTAATGATAATTATTTTCAATTGAAAAATAAACATTTATGCTAGTTGGTAATTTTACCAATGTTGAAAAAATATGCACCATTATTATAATATTACTCATATGTATTTTTCTTCTAATATTTGCAAAAAAAATTTCAAACATAGGTATCTGTAGCAGCAGCCTGATTTTCTAGGGTTATTACAAATCCTTCTGGTTTACCATAGAACTGGTCAGGTTACTAAATGCACTGTTTAAATATACACACATACTCATATACATTGTTAATACACTTTCTTTTTAGTTACTCTAAAACAAAATGTCTGGTTCCTAGTACAACTGGGGAATCAGAAGAATTCCTTGGAAATTAAAAAAATTCAATTATTAAGCAAGATAATTATGTTATCTTAAAAGCAAAGCATAGTTTCATAAAATATCAAATAGATATTTTCTAGAATTAAAAAGTATAAAAATATTCTGATCTTTATAACTAAAATGCTTATATGCATTGAACCAAGCATTATACTTCTATAAGTCTATCCTAAAGATTTAATATAAAATAAAGAAAAGTTTATGTAAAAATTCTTAATTCATTATTATCATTACTAGGAAAATTATAAAAATTTTCAGAATAAAGAAAAATTGTCAAATAGTTCAATGATATAAGAGCATCAATAAGAAACATGTGAGTTGACTTGCTAGCTGTGTACTTGTAACCATGGTTGTTACTGAACTCTGAGCTTCAGCTTCCTTGTCTGAAAAACTAAAAAATTATAGGATTATACTATTACTTAATGTCTTATATGGATAAAGAAAGAGTTAATGGGAATGCTAAGTACTTATCATAGTATCTGCTATGCTATATACACTGACGGTTAGCCTAAGACATTAAATTATGTCTTAGGACAGATTACTTCATATGAAGAACAACAAAACCAAGAAAAGGTCAGTACCACTGTATATGAAGAACTCTTTTTTAATACATGGGGAAATATTTTTGCAAGGAAAGTAGCATAGTCAATGCTATTCTTCTAGATAACTAGCTATTAAAATATGCACACTAAGCTGAATAGAAAATATATTAACTTCGATGATGGTTATTTCTATTTAGTGGAATATTGGTGAACTGTGATATTTTTTCTAATTTGATGAATCATGAATTTAATTTTTAATTTATTAAGAAAATTAATTCTTAATTCTTAATTTTCATAACTGATTGCTCTTGGGAGAAAAATACTTAAAAAGAAGACAGTGTACATTCATTTTGGAAAGTTATGTTCATTTGTTGTCATTATGCTTGATAGTGAGAAATATCTCACAGCAGTAACACTGTAATCTCTGGCAGGCTTTGGCCTCTGCTCTTCAGATGAGCAATGGTTTACTCAAATGTTCTCACCTGCATAAGAACCACCCACTAAGGCTAAATAAGCACAGACTACAAATTGCTTTTATGGGTTCCACCAATTAGTCACAAAGCCCCATGGCCAGAAAGTTTTTCTGTGATTACTTGTTTCAATTTTACCACTTTAGAGAAGAGAAAATATGGGTCTCACAGTCATCAAAGACTTACTCAGGAATATGCTATTCTGGGAGGCAAACTGACAACTAAAACCCTGGAGGTCAACACTCTTACTCTTTCCCCATTTAATCTCCATTCCTGTTAAAGACACTTTTAACTACAAGAGCTATTTTTGTAGGCGACAGTCAGTTTTATTGTTGGGCCAGGCAGTGATATCTGTACTAAAAATTTCTAAGCCAAACTGAAACCTCCTTCTCCCTCCTCCCTTCCTTGTCTTGTACACATACACACGTATAAACTCCTCTGGCTACACACAACATTACAACTGGTTAGAGAACTAGATAAGCCAATGTTTCCAAATGCCAAACAGATCAATGCCAAAGACCATGTCGGACAACATCTTCTAAAGGACTCTGAGCAGCAATCAAATTGAGACAGTCCAACCATGAATGTTGCTTTAGTATCTTTCAAAGAAACTACCCAAAATATGAGTAAATATTGTGTTATATACTTAGATATTTGGCCGATAGCACAAGCGGCCAACATGGCCGACCCGAGTTCAATTCCTCCGCCCCTCTTGGAGAGCCTGGCAAGCTACCGAGAGTATCTCGCCCGCACGGCAAAGCCTGGCAAGCTACGTATTCAGTATGCCAAACAGAGTAACAATTGTCACAATGGAGACGTTACTGGGCCCGCTTAAGCAAATTGATGAACAACGGGAGGACAGTGACAGTGACTCAGATATTTCACTTTAAGATTCACGGACTCTACCTTTCCTTGTAGGTTCCTTTCATTCTTCCTTTCCAATACTTTGCTCAGGGAGAAGCTGGTATTGCTCGTATTGAAAGACACCTTCCATTAGTATCACTATCTCAGAAGTATTATACCACAGGGGGATAATAGCAGTAACCTATCTGGTCTCTTGGAAGCCATGTGAGACACAGTGCAGTCCCGAAAGTCAAATAAAATATTATAACATCATAAATTATTTTTTCTCAAAAGTTATTTTCTCCAAAATTTGTTCCTGATCAAAGATGGGAACAAGGGAGAGATGGGTGTTTGATCATTGTGGGACTGTAACCCAAACATGAAAGCTTGTAACTATCTCACGGTGATTCAATAATATAAAAAAAAAAAAGATGGGAACAAGCTTCACAAATTTTACTTTTCAGAAGTTCTGTGTGTGTATGTGTGTGTCTGTGTGTGTGAAGGTGTAAAGGATAGTTTGGGATCACATCTATCAGTGTTCAGAAAACTGCAGTTTCAAATGTAGGTCTCCTAAATTCAAAGCACACTCTCAGCCCTTTGAGCTATCTCTCCAGCCGAAAGTTCCTCTCTGTTATTGCTGGCCAATTAAGAAAAGTATAAGGGAAAAATAACCTCTTGATTTCTTTCCTACACATAATATTTTATAAAAGAAGTCTTATTGCAGAGAGACCCAATGTCTCTGGCTACTGAGTCACCAGCTTTTAGCAGTGGTCACTTCCAAACACCTATAGCCAGGCTTTAAGAAATAATAACTAAAACACTTTTTCAAATGGGTCATTGAAGAAATCATCCAGGCTTAGTACCTGTACAACTTTCTTTTTTAAAAAGAGACTTTAGTTTTGGAGCCACATCCGGCCATGCTCAAGGGTCACTTCTGATAGGGCTCAGAAGACTGTATGTGGTGCCAGAATTGAATTCTGATTGACTAACGGTGTGCAAAGCCAGTGCCTTTACCTCTCACTGTATTATCTCTCTAGTACCATCATTTAAAAGAGATTTTAGAAGTTAAAGGCAATAAATCCAGATTGTGTAAAATTACACAAATACACCGAAAACGGTATTTTTCATTTTATACTCTGGTTAATGACTACTTTGTCATACTAGGCCAGTCTCCAGTTTAAAAATCTCAAAATGTCCAATATTTTTATTGGATTTCAGCTGTGTAAACTTTGTAGTTTGGAGACAATCTTTCCAATGTGTCCTCGCTGAAAACACATCCCTACATTTGTACAGTGGTGGGAACATTAAAATTAAGTTAAGTGATAGGCAGTCCATCTTGCACCAGATGCAACTCACTGTCTGGGCTCTCCAGAGAGCATACACGGGCCTCTCTTTGATGAATATGCATGAGTCTGAGTTGCTTTACGTGAGAGACAGATGTTCCTACATACCTAACAATCCTCTGTCACCTGCTCCATTGATTTTGTCTGCCTGGATATTCCTGAATGACAGGAGAAGGAAAGTTCCTCAAAATGTGTTTTATATGATCATCTCTAATGAGCCTTCCAAAGCAAGAGAGAATACAGGGGCTCCTGAAGAGCTTACTTTACCTTAGTTAGTTCACAATTCTGGGACACCATCACTGACTTTTCTCAAGGCAGGGAATCCTCTACCACTTTAGAGTTTGCTGTTACAAGGGAAACGCCTGTCATTAGAAACACCAGAAGCCCTTAGTTGCTCTGTGATATGAAAAAGACTCATTTGGGCCATAATCTAAGCTGGTCACTTTGAATTATTTCCTGAAGAGTTCTGAGTTCCATAAAAGAGGAAGAGTTATCACAGAACCAACTCCAGCAGCAAAAGCCAGCACAAGAATGCAGTGCTGCTTCCTTTAATCTTGCCTTCTGAGGCTTTAAGAATACATCCTTGCATTTAATTTCAGATCAGATGCCTCTATTCCCTTTTTACACATATCTTAGAAGGTGCTTATATGTTCTCAAGATCTTCAGAACCACAAAGTTGGCCTTAGAAACAACTTGGGAAAGTAATATCATTTCTAATAACTCAACTCCTTCTGTACAATAACATATTCTGCCCAGGAATCATGACCAACAGAATAATGCTATCACTAACTCTAATGAGGTAAAGGAGAGAGAGAGAATAGAAACTCTGGCATTAGAATAAACTCAAGTAATATGAAAGAATCTGAATACCTAAGGGCAACTGAGAGAAATCTTAGACCATGACAGTTTTTCTCTTCATCAAATCCTAAAACAAATTTCTGTAACCAAACTTACCATGTACCATATCAAACATTTAAAATGACAGAATTCTGTTTATGCTCATTTAAAACTAGTTTTCCTACTGAAAAATGAACTAGGAGACGTACCGGAGCCAGACCCAGAGGCAGTCACATCGTAAATCAGATCTTTGAGAGTTTTTCCAGCGTTTACCAGATTGCACTCAGAGAGGGGTTCCTCCACATTCTGTCTCTTCTTCCTTCTGTATGTGCACTGCCGTCTTTGGCATACCCATATTGTCAGCACTGTCAGTATGGACAGGAGACAAACTGGGACACTAATAACAACAGTGAGCTCCATGGGTCCAAGTCTGGGGGCATTTGGCGAAGCTTCAGTAAAGAGAAAGAGAAAAAGAGAATACAACCATAAATCAACTCATTTCAAACATTGTAGAAATTTGAAATGTGTCACCAAACTTTCACATCTATGATGTATAATGACACAGTATGCGCATTAGATAGTTGGTAAAGTCTTTGAGCAAAAGAGATTTGGAGCAGGCTGTAGTTACAACTAGTCACACCATGTGACAATTGGAGACAAAATTAGGCTTAGAAAAACAAAAGCACAAGGTTTTTAAAATTCTCCGAAGCACTTGTCATGTTTCTATGCTATATTCTACACATTTTTCAACAGCCCATTCTTGGAGAACATTTACTTATTCATTTCATGAATAATGTCTGCACTCTGCAATGTGTTGCCTGCCAGTACTCCAGGTAAAAACACTGAGGAAAAAGAGCCCCCATCCTTACTCTTTATGGAGCTAATGAAGGACATAATGATACAGGATGTTCATGCATGAAACTTTTTACCATTTTAAAATTAAAGTAACTGGATTATAAGTTCCAGGTATGCATTACTACAAATCAACTGGATGTGTATTACAGTGAGTTCCCCACTTAAATATAATTACTTTGACACAAAGTTGTCCCCTCTATTCCAAATGTCCCAATTCCCTTTCCACCATGCTTCTGGTAAAATTAATTTGTCTCACAGTCCAGAAGTTTTTTTGTTGTTGTTGTTGTTCTACTAAGTTGAGCTGTTTTTTATTCTATATACCAAATATTGATGAAATTACAAGGTCTTTTGGCTACTTTCTTTGGCCTATTTCACTAATCATAATACCAACAATAATACATTGATGCAACCAGATGAATATTCACAACACATTTTGTGGATATATGCCACATCTTCTATATGCTATAAACATATACTAATGTGTACTCAGATCATTCCTAAATCTTGACTATTGTAAATAATTTTGGATTTTATCCCATCTTGGGCATACAAAATTTTTTTCCCACTTAGATAGTGTCTTCATTTTGTTGCAAGTTCCTTTATTTTTTAACTTTACTAAGCTGTTCTCTTTTTCACCTTCCATTCCACTCCCTTCGTTATTGCTTTGATGACCAGGGGTCGCACACACTTTATCTGTGGTGCTCAAACACTTAAGTGCAGTGCATGGGAGATTTCACACTTTGGTGTGGCAACAGGGAATCCAAGAGGCAATACTTCTGGGGTCAGGTTTGACATGTGGGGCAGTGTCAACGGAACTCAAAGCCTTACAAAACATAACTGTACCGTGGAGCTATGCCAGATCTGGTTTCCCTGATGCAAGTTTCTTTGTCCATGGTTTGGTATATGATTATGTTATCTTTAGTTTCCCTTGAGTTGAGTCCTCAAATATACCTATAAGTATATGACCTATGTTTTCTTCTATGTATTTTGTGGTTTCAGGCCTAACATCCTAATAACTCATCTATTTTAAATGCATTACCATACTTGGTAATTCTAGGTAATGGTCTAATTTTATTCTTTTGCATGTCATGTTTTCTGACTAATATTTCTTAGGAAACATTCCATTCTCCATGTAGGCTCTCGTCAGTGTTGTTGTAAATTTCATGTCCTTATACATATGGTTTTATTTCTGGATTTTTATTTATGTTCCATTGATTAGTTTGTCTTTTTTACTTCAATACTATACTAATTACTACTACTTTGTAGTGTTTTTAGAAATTACTATTACTTTATAATTACTATTACTTTGCAGTGTAGTGTTGAGCATGGTATCTCCATTTTAACTCTTTTTCCTCAGAGATGATTTTGCTCTTCAAATTCTTTCAGAGTACCAAAGAAATTTCATGATATTTTTTTGTTCTAGTTCTGTTTAGTGTGTCATTGGTATTCTGAGAGAGGTTGCAATGAATCTATATTGTATCTCAATGCTTTACACAGACTATCATTTTAGTCACATTAATTCTTCCAATCCATGAGTTAAAAGAATGTTTCTATATCTTAGTGAGTTCTATTTCTTTTAATATCATAATTTTAATTGAGTAGATCTTTGACTTCTTCAGTTAAATTTTTTATAAAACATTTGTTCCTTTTTTATGTCACTGAGAATAGAATCCTTTTCCAGATTGTTCTTATATACATATCCTTGTCAACACGAACTTGGCCATGAGCATTGATTCATTCGAATGCCTAACAACCCAAACCAGATGCTTATGCTTGAATAGACGTGGCTCACTGCCAGCAGTTTCTATCTTTGTTGTCTATGCACCAACGTCCAATTACGATGAAGGAGAAACTGAGTTCTACATGGAGCTGGAGAAGTTCTATAAGGAAGACCACACCTTCTAAAAGATCATTGTCAGCGATTTTAATGCCAAGATAGGACCAAGAAGGTCGCCTGAAGAACCCCACATCAGGAACCATGGCTTAGAGTTGAATGAACAAGGTGAGAGAGTAAGTTCATCACATCAACCAAGACTATCCATGGTAATTCACAGTTACAGAAGGCTAAATCTAAACGCTGGATATGGGAGTCTCCTAGTGGTAAGTTCCACAACAAAACAGACCACATCATATTCAATCGATGGTTTTTCCTGACCAATGTTGCTGTTTGGTCGATTCAAATGGAATCGAACCACTGTGTCCTTCATGTAAAATTCTACTTTATGGAGCGGGGGAAAAGGGCTGCAAAGTTAAGAAGAAAACTCCCAGAAAGACCACTGACTGGGAGCTCTTTGGCACTATTACGGCAACATGGGAAGATGCCATTGTTGACAACATCAAGGAGGAATACAACTGGTTCAGCACATCCATGACTGTGCGAGGAATGCCGAGAGTGGGAAAGTCACAAAGAGATGTCTGTCTTCAGAAACTCTCGAGCTCATTCACCAAAGTGGTTTGGCTCAAGTCTCAGGCAATGACAAACTAGCATCTGAGCTCACAAAAATGTGCAGAGAGGCAATAAAGGAAGACCTTAAAGAGAAAAGCAGCTATGTTGGCCCATGCAACAGAAGCTGGAAAAAGCATTTGCAACATCTGCCTGTCCTTCGCCAACTATAAGACCAAGATGACTGCCCTCTGACATCCTGATGAATCTATAAAATCTTCCAGAGGGGCAATGGAGAAGATTATCCATGACTTCTACTCGGATCTCTTCGATAGGCACATCCACCTGCCCATATACCAAATTCTGCAGGATGGATATGTCATTCCTAATGTTCTCCCTTCTGAAATATGACACGCCATTTCATCAGTAAAGAAGCACACAGCACCTGGTTCAGACAAAGTCAGACCCAAACACCTGAAGAATCTTGTCAGTACTTGTCAATACACTGGCTTGGCTCTTCACACGCTACCTGTCTGAATGCAAGGTTCTGTCCCAATGGAAAACCAGCAGAACTGTTCTGTTGTACAAGAAGGGAGAAATCCACAGCATCGGCAACCATCTCCTGATCTGCCTATTGTCCATCCTCTACAAGTTGTTCACTCGAGTCATCCTGAATGGAATAGGTAGAACACTAGATGAAGGACAACCATGAGAGCAAGCCGGGTTCTGAAAAGGATTCAGCACAATGGACCATATCCACACAGTGTCCAAGCTCATTGAGGTTTTGTGAGAGTTCAAGATGCTGCTCTGTTTAACATTCATCGATTTAAAGGCCTTTGATTCTCTTGAGACTGAAGCAGTCATTGAAGCCCTAGTCAAACAGGGAGTTCAAACTCAGTACATCAGGATCTTCTGTGAGCTGTACTACGGATTCACCACCAGGATATCACCATTCTACAAGGAAGTGATCATTGATGTAAAGAGAGGTGTTCCACAGGGTGATACCACTTCACCGAAACTCTTCGGTGCCACCCTCGAGAATACCATGCAAGGATTGCAATGGGAAAAAATGGGAGTGAAGATAGACGGTCAGCAACAACACCACCTCCACTTCGCTGATGACATTGTTCTAATAACACCAACATTAGCCGAGCGGCACAAATGCTGGCCGACTTCAACCGTGAATGTAGAAAGGTCGGACTGCAGCTAAATCTCACCAAGACAATGTTCATGAAAAACAAACTAGTTTCTGACATTCCATTTGCTTTCAATGGAACGAAGATCTCCGAATGCAGCAGTTATGTGTACCTGGGTTGAGAACTCAACATGAGGAATGACTTGGTGCCAGAACTGTGCAGGAGAAAGAGAGCAGCGTGGAATGCCTTCAAGAGCATTGAAGAAGTTGTTAAGAGGACCAAGAACCTTCAGCTCCAGGGCACATCTTTTCAACTCTACTGTTTTTCCTGCACTAATATACGCCTCAGAGACCTGGGCCCTATGAGAACAGGACAAGAATGTTATTCAGATGATCCAAAAAGGAATCTAATGAGCTATGCTTGGAGTATAACGCTTCACTCGAGTGAGAGAAGGAATTCGGAGTTCCAACCTCCATCAATGATCGAAGATCAGGGATGCGGCCTCGTTTCCCAAGGTGTCGAAAATCAGATGGGCCGGACACGTAATGCGACTTAGAAATGAACACTGGACTAGAGCTGTTACTGACTGGATTCCAGGGGACATCAAAAGAATGCGTGGCCGCCCACCTTTGAGATGGTTAGACTTCTTCATCAAAACCCTGAACAAAGGGTTTGAGGCTCGTTGTGTCCTGGAGTGAGCAGATCCATTGGGCAACACTAGCAAGCAACAGGGACAAATGGAGTCATTACTGTGCGCACTCAAGCAAATCAATGATCAGCAGGATGACAAGTGGTACAAATGATACAAGTGATATACAAATTTATACATATATAATACGTATAATACATATTCACATCATCTACAAAATTTTATTTCTCCCTTTCTAATATGGATATTTTTAAAGCCTTTATACCTTCATAACAGGTCTTTCTAGAACTTCCAACACTGTATTAGACTGTAACAACAAGAGTGGACTTATTATCTTGATTCTAATTTTAAGGAAAGTTTTCATTTTTTCATCATTGACTATGTGGGCTGGAGCGATAGCACAGCAAGTAGAGCATTTGTGTTGCA